AAATATGTTTAAGAACTCATTTCAAAATAGCAATAATCAATATACGTATATAATGTATAATAATTGAAATGTGACCGTATTTTACAAAATACTAGTCGACTAAAACACAGCCAAGACAAGTTAATTTGTACAGACCAAATGTCAGTTTTATGTTATTTGATATGGTAACATGAGTGTGCGTGAGTCGCATCATTGTAACTTCTGTATTGTTAGCCAGGCATGGGTGAATGGACAATATAATAAAAATAATATATATATATGTAAATGTATAATGTTATGAGATTTAATCTATTTTGTCTAAACATTTATGTTTTTGTGTTATAATTTGTGTTCATTCTAGAATGAAAGAGACATAATTTATATTTATTTCCAAATTTTTTATGGTGTTTGCAAGATCGTTCAAATCTACTGAACTTGTAAGAGATTAATTACTGAAAATAATAGATTAAATATAAAGTTTTTTCTTAACAAACGTTTGATAACTATCCAGACATTATAAAGATTTTGCATGTGAAATTTCAAAATTTTCTGATGCATAAAAGTATTTTTAATCTTAAAATGAAAATTACTTTGCATGATAGATAAGCAAGATGTGTAAAGAAAAAAGGGCACGAGAGAAACATTGCTTTACAAACCTTACAGCTTAATAAAAAAATTAGATATTTTGCATTGTATTGTTTAATGATAATCTGCCAAATTTCGTTAACGTTTGCTTACTAATTAAAAAGTTATAGCATGAAAACTATAACAAGCACAAAATGTTTATGAGGTCATCACATTGACTAATCCCATAATGAAAGAGTTTTTTGGTATTTTGTATTTCTTTGTCAATGTTTTTTATAATTGCAGTATATATCTTGTACTTTAAATCTAGTGATGATTTCTTTGTATTTTTATGGTGAAGTTGTTTATTATGTATTCTCTTTCTGTGTTAAATGTTTCTTATAAGATGATCTTCTTTCTTTAAGAATTTTTTTTATGTTATGTTTTTTTTTGTTATGATTAAGGATTGTGGTGTTTTCAGAGGCATAAGAAAGTTAATGCACTCCTTGACCAGGGCATAAATTTATAGTTTATTGGTTTTAAAGTTAAAATTAACATTCTGTTTGAGGACATACCTGAAGTAGGGAAGACATGAAAGTGTGGTAAATGGATATACCATGCATTTCTATCTTATTGTGATATTATAGTATTTATTTTGAATTTATTCTTTGTTCTTTGTATGTGCAGGTTCACATAACATGAGGTCAAGAAAGCTGTAAAGTTGATTTTGTACTAGCTGCTTTTGTTCCTTTGTTGTTCTCTAGCAGATAATACTTGTTCTGCCCAGAGTATTTTGGGTTCAGTACTACACATTGTTCAAGGATGTCAACATCATTGTCTATTAGTTGTCATTCAGGTGGTATCTAGAGATTATGGCATCACCAATGTTGGAGTGAGAATGACCAGTCACATGGGTAGTAGTAATCACACTGTTTAAATACATTTATTGCAAAATAAGAAACATTGGATTTAAACAGTCAGAATAGGATCTTGAAGAGTAAATAATTGAGGGAATCCAGTAAAAGCAAGTACAAACACACTGTGTTAGTGTTTATTGTGATAGTAAAGAGTATGCATTTTGTATTTCAGTTTGTGTCCAGTCCCATTATTCCATTTAACACCACGAAATAGGTATTATAGTTATTGTTTCATTGTTAAAGTGTTTATTTTCTGTATTTGTAAATTTATTATTGTCAGATTGTATTTAATGTCAAATGATTTTCCTTCTTTTACTTTATTATTTCATTGTTTTGTATTGATCAGTTGTTGACCTTAAATTTTGTTATTTATGTGTTCATACTTTATATACTATATCCAGTTTGTAGCTAAAGTTTACCAGTATCCACATTTTAACAGCAACTATTATCATTTTGCTAATGTTGTAGTGATGATTCTTTTTAATTTCATATACAGCACTGTCATTAATTACTTATCAAAGCTACCTACATAACTCAGAACTAAAAATTAACTCAGTAATGATTATAGATCATTTAATATACAGTTCTTACTTATATAGATTACAGTGCATTGATTCATCATTTGGTACTCTCCCTGTTAGCCATATTTTTTAGCTATAAACCTTCTAATATGTCTCATGAGGTTTGGCCAGCTTAGGAGATATAGGTAGTCTTAAACCCATTTACTAAGCTAACAATGCAATATATATATATATATATATTAAACAATTAAACCAATACTGTTAATGAAACTAACATTAAAGATAAAACATAATAGTTGTTTGCTTCAAGCACTATTATTGATTCCCTGTCACTTGAAAATGTATTATGTATTTTAAAATTTAAACTTTGCTGTGTACAGTTGTTCATAAGAAAGAAATTATAAAAGCAATGTTGTACTGGTTTCACACATGTTGATGCTTTTACTTTTAATAGTATAATAGTAATAGTTTAAAAAACAAAGAAGAAAGCAGACCTGGGAAGTGTATATTTAGAACCTTGATGGAGTCACTTAATGTATTTCTGTGAGTAGATTTCCTTAACCCCTTGTTTACCATAAGGGCATATGAAGTATACTTGCTATTTCTCTTCTCAGGGACTGTATTGGAATATTTTGGTGTGGGATTTTTTACACTGAATCCAGTGATATATATATGATCTGTAGATCCTTTAATAAATATACAATAAATAAATCAAATATAAAATATTTGATATTTTTTCAAATTTAACAAATTTCTTTAGATCTTGAGAATGCAAATACCTGGTTGTGAAAGGGTTAATAATCTATGGTGATCTGTTGTATATAAAATCCACAAAACATTAGAACTTAATTCTTTATGAGTAAGCTGTCATTGGAGTACTCTGTTTGAGGTGAAGTATCAATGGAACAGTCCATTCTGCTCCTACACTACATTCCAATTGGAGTACTATCTGTTTGGAATGCAGAGTTTGAGTTTTGGCAACAGTGACCAGTCAATGTTCGGTTCCCACTCTTTTCCATATTAGCTTTAGCAGTTTGTCCACTGCACTTAGTATTCTCAGTCAGAGAACTGCTCACACAACAAGCCTTTGCAGGATAGTGAATGGTGTCATCATTTGAATCATAGTGTGTACTTAGCCATGATGCAAAAAGCATAGTTATTTCTCAGTCTAGTGATCATCAGGCAATCATTTCTTTTCATTCTTTGAAATTTACCAGACACGGAAGTGACCTTATATATAATATTTAAAGTGTGTATAAAAGTTTCCCCTGCTGGTTTTATTCATTTTACTTATGAGGATGAAATTCTTTCACCTGGAAGAAGGTTCATGAATCAGTGAAAAAATGTAGGTCTTGAATGAAAATTCACTCTGATTAGCTCGGACTGTGAAGTATTTCATTGCTCTTACAAAATCTACATGCACTGATAAGTTTAATTATTTATCATATTTCTTTTATTCTGACCTTTCATATTTCACAGATGCAAATTATGAAGGAAGTGTATTATTGCACGAGAAGCAAAGTGTAGCATGACCATTACCCACATACTACTACTACACTAATCTTAATAGTTAAGATATTAGCTTCTTCTTAACTGTATATTTTAATTACCTTTGTCTGATCATCTAATGTAAAAGTTTGTATATGTATCCTTTTTTCATGATTATGTTGCACTTTTTTTATGTTTTAAATTAAATTAAATTCCAGTTGTTGCTGTGTTTGAGTAGCTACAATTTCTATAGAAATATTTGTATTAAAAAACAGTGTAAGATTTATCCTTTCGTTGTGTTAGAACAGTAAATAAATTTTAAGTATTGTTGCAAAATGTTATTTTAACAACATCTACAGGATAAATTCAAATGACTTGATATAAACAGATAATTTTTGTCATTTCTGTTTTCCAGGTAACAGTCATATGGTAGGGAAATCCATTGAACTGTTGGTTTCAGTCTCCTGATTCTCGCTACAAGAGCCAAATGTTATAGGCCAACTTTCATAGGTTTTTTCTTTTGAGCAGTTAATTTTGATTGATTTTCTTGTTTAATATTATAAAGTTTACTCTTATGCAACAGTATTATAAGTGATATTACTGCCTAAAAACATGCAGTTAAAACATATAATTATATGTTTATAATTATAAAACATATAATTATAGTGCCCATATATAAATATATGGGCACTATAATTTTTATTAATCAAACTGAATTTCCTGATAAATCTCTGCTTAACTAATTTTCTATTTACTTTTAACAAGAGCAGTTATTTTAAAAATAACATTTTGAATGGATAAAATTTATACTTTGTAAGAAAAAACAAATATCCATCACTTTGGAAGTGAGGAAAATCTCTAACTCATTTACTAAAAACAATAAAGATTGCATAATATGGTAAATATATAATGGTGAGAATATTTCCTGCAACTGCTATACACTTTTGTAATAAAACATATCTTTATCATAGATATACAGAGATAGGCTTAGATGTACCAGTTTCCAATATATTTTAATTTTTTGCCCCCCAGTGGCACAGTGGTATGTCTGCGGACTTGCAATGCTAGAAACCGGGTTTCGATACCCGTGATGGGCAGAGCACAGATAGCCCTTGTGTAGCTTTGTGCATAATTAAAAACAAACAAACAAACCCAGTGGCACAGCGGCAGGTCTGCGGACTTACAACGCTAGAAACCAGGTTTCGATACCTGTGCTGGGGAAGGGCACAGATAGCCCATTGTGTAGCTTTGTGCTTAACTTCAAAAGAAACAAACAAACAAATTTAATTTTTGTCATATAAGCATCATGTTTACACAAGAACATATTGACAACCAGCTTCCTTGTTTGAACACCAAAATAAATATGCTTTGAAGTATAATTTAATTGTATGGTTACTAAAGATCTACTTTTCCTATTCCCCATTCGCATTTAGTTTTATAAACAACCATTAGAAAAAATACTTGGCATATCTGATAGCAAAATTTGTTTATTTTGTTCCCTCTTTTTACAGATTTAAAAATATTAAAAAATATCTGAGTTGAAGCAATTATTCTTGAATATTTGCTTGACAGACTTTTAAAAATTTGGATTAACATACAGTGTATTGACATTTGCTTTGTAATGGATAATGTACCAAAATGCTATATTATTACAATGCATTGGATTTTATTGGTTGAACAAATACAAAACAATCAAGAAGCTGATTTATTCAGTGTGTCTTTCAAAGTTAATCTAAATCTTGTTTAAGGAAGAATTAGGCTAAAAACTTTGTTTATTTTGGCTTTTTAGCATACTAAATAAATTGAGCTCTAAATATGAACAAGGGTACATTTGGTAGACTAACAAAATATGCTGAAGCACTTTATGATATACAGCTTCATAAACATGAGAATACCAGGAAAATTCTTTTTTTAATGTTGTATACTTTAATAAGTTTACTACTGTTAATGTGTTTCTTTTATCTATGAATATAATTGATCAGAAGTGAATTTACACTGCTGTCAATCTGCTGTAATCTTAAGTACTACGTAATGATCTTTTGTGCTTCCTGCAGATAAGACACATAGCTTGCACATTACTGAGATATAGTAAGCAAAAGATAAGAAGGCAGTATGTTCATGATTTTCAAGGAAGTAGATACTTTTGACAGTAGCACCAACACGTATTAAGTAGTACATTGTGACTGTTTACATATGTTAGTTGTGTACATTTAAACTATGTAAATATTTTATTTCAATCAGTATTCAGTTTATCTTTCATATTTTAACTAAAACTTGTTTGTTGTAAAAAGGATGCTAAAAAAGAACATTGTTCTTTGTTTAATTTGTTTTGTAACAGGTAGGTTACTTTTAAACATAATAAAGCATAGAAAAAAACTGAATAATTGGTGGTGTTCTCAAATTCTGTCATGGCTTGAGCATCATCATAGCCACAGTAAAACAAACATAGCAGAAACTGAAAAATGATGTAGGATTACCTTTGACCACCTCTCCACTTTAGATTAACTCTCATCCAATGGGAGTAGTGAAGAGAAACTAGACTCCCACCTTTTTTTATCTCTGAACTTCTTAAACTTAAGTTGAAATGTCCTAAGTTATTGCCTTAGTCATGGATTCTATTAATCTTCACCTTCTTAGAGGATGCTGTGACACTCACTCAAGGATAAAAAAAACCTTGTTACACAAATTATGCATTAACAGGCAGTTAACTAAAGTGAAAACAGAAAACTGAACATGATAAAATTAAACAAATAGAATTAAAAATAGCTGAATTTTAGATATACTAGAACTAAATTAAATATAGTGTGAAACAAAAATACAGCACAGAGTAATTCAAATTAATTACAAATGAAGAACAGCATTTCAATTATTATGGTATATAACGTATATGCTGGTGAGACTTAATTGATTTTTGGGTAGTTAGTATGATATTACATTATAATATAACTGATAATTTTTTACAAATATGTTTTACTGATCATATACTTTGGGTTTTGCACTAAGAACAACATAACAGTATCATCACCACACACCTTATGGAAAACTTCTACCTCATTTACTAAAAAACTAAAAAGGTTCCATAATATGGTAAATATATAAGTTGAATAATAACCAAAAGGGATAATAAGAGAAATAAAAATATAAATTGAAGTGAAATTACAGTGAAATAAAATGAAATGAAACAAAACTAAACTAAAAAACATAATACAAGTTAAAACTTAAACAGGGTGACCTAACATTGCACTAATAGAGCATAAAACTGAAAATGGCACATCTTAAAGTCAAAATGTGGAAAACGACATAGCTGAAATGAACATTATATTTAACAAAATTTAGTAAAAGCTGCCAAATACATTAAACAAAATTAAAGGCGAGTATACCCTATGTACATAGTTTTAAATATACTATATAGGATAGAATAAACAAAAGAAAACTTACTATAGCCATAGTGAAATATGATGGAGTAAAACTCAATTTAAGAACTCAAAATCACTTGGTGATATTGAAAACACAACTCAACATAAAGGTAAGTTCAAGGTAATAAAACAGCTCGTAACAATAAGTCATAACTAAGTTCAAAATATAGTGCTATCGAGGTACAGAAGAATAAATTTAATATGGAAATTTAGTTATAAACATAAAAATATGTGTGCAAACAAAGTTTTGAATATTTGTGTTATATCTCTAGACAAAAGAAGGCTTTCGGGGCTATTTGTGGTTCAGTCGAGACCTTCCAAAATGCCATATTTCATATGCCCTGTAATCAAATCATTTGGTGGCCTAGGGCTGACATTCTCAAATTCCTTTATAATAAGGATTTAGGGCACATCTGGAGTTCAGTAATCTTAGGGTCCTGCTGGCATGACACCCATTCATAATTGATTTGTACTTTTGACTAGTGTACTATATGGATGTCATGAGGAGGACAAAGATCCAGGAATGGGTGCTTAGAGGTGGGTCATAGCTGTGGTTGTGGGAGCTGGCCACATTTCCTCTCTTATAGTGATGATGCAAGGACAGAGCTGAGGAGCAGTGCCTGTACTTGCATGGCTTCCTACTATAGAGTTGAGATTCCTGATGTGATTGAAAAGCCAACAAAATCATTAAACACAATAATCAGCAAGATGTCGTTCTCTATCATGGGTAGCAAGTGGAGGGTCAAGTTCCATTAACATGTTCCACTTCAAAAGATAAAATAGACAACAATCATGTTTTTTGTAGGAAAAATCTGGATTAAAAAACTCCAAGTCAACTCAGATTCAGATAGGTCAAAAGTTCAGTCAACAAATTAAACTCTTTCAAGAAATGTTTAATCCTGTTGAACAGTGCATTACTTTTTTGTAAACATGAATGTTAATATTACCTCGAGAATTCGAAGATACATATTAGTATGAAGTTATGTCATTTAATTAATAGACATGTAGCTGTTGAAAAACCTGCTGAGAATAGGTAGTCAAACCATAAGGTTGAGATGGGAATCAGACCACAGAATGGAATGAGCAAAGATGGAGACGTGCTGTATGTAGATTATTCCAAGCTTTGTCAGCAATTAATGGCCAGGTGGATAAGGCGCTCAACTCGCAATCTGAGGGTCGCGGGTTCGAATCCCCATCCCACCAAACATGCTCGCCCTTTCAGCCGTGGGGGCATTATAATGTGACGGTCAATCCCACTATTCGTTGGTAAAAGAGTAGCCAAAGAGTTGACGGTGGGTGGTGATGACTAGCTGCCTTCCCTCTAGTCTTATACTGCTAAATTAGGGACGGCTATCACGGATAGCCCTCGTGTAGCTTTGCGCGAAATTCAAAAACAAACTAACAAAAACAAACAATTTAACACAATTTGAAGAAAATGCCTTTCCTTTGGCATATATGGACAAACATCTCGACAAATTGAAGGAAACAAGTTTGTTCATCATGCTAGACCTGACTTTCAGCTACTGACAAGTCGAACTAGACAATGTGAATAGACGTAAATCTGTTTTCAACATGTGAGAAGGACAGTATGAATTCTCCATTTGGCCTGAGTAATGTAAGATTGAAAGATTATAGAGCTTACATTTAGAGCACAGCAGTGGAAGAGATGTCTCGTCTCTTGGGACGAAACTTTTGTTTGCATGTTTCATGTCGCATCCGAGAACTTGAGAGTGATATTCCAGTGTACTAAATATGCATACTTGAAAGTGTGTATTGACGTGCGTGAATTAGTTTCTTGGTCACATACTAGTTAGGTATGGAACGAGTGTCTTCTGATCTGACAGCTTTGTGGTTTAATATCGCATCATCAATGGTTTATAGTCAGTTTGGAAACTACGTCAATTTTAAGTGATGGGTGTCCACCCACAAGAGTGGAGCAAAGTCTCAGGGCATACAATATGGCGGCCACCAGCGCTCCAGATCATCATATTT